TTTTCGTGATGCACATTTTCTTTACATAAAACTCTCTCTTATACATGAGTTGCTGTGGATTTGTTTCTCCAAAGTACCCAGACTAATACAACAACACTATTAAATTAACTGTATGATGTGTTAATTATAGTTCAATCTTTTTAAAAAATGAGTTAATGACATCGTGAATACATAGCAAACCAATCACATCAGAGAAAAGAACCAAACCAAAAAGGTGTATATACTATATGATCCTACTTATACACAATTAATTTTAAATGTATGTCAATATATAAGTGACAGAAAATAGATCAGCTTCTTTACCTAGAGATGGTGATGGCAGGGGGTGGGGCTTGGAGGGAGGGATTACAAAAAGGAACAAGAAACCTGAGGGCGTTGACTCTTGCTCAGTATTTTGATTGTGGCAATGGTGTCACTGATGTATGTGTGATTAACATATAACATCTTTAAGCACCAGTTGTTATGCATCAACCATACCTCAATACAGACCCCAGAAGAGTTGGTCCATTCAGTTATGGTGTTGGTGAGGACTGTTGAAAGTACTGTGGACTGATCGAAGAGCAAACAAGTCTGTGTTTTGGAGGAAGTACAGTCAGAATGCTCCTTAGAAGTGAGGGTAGTAAGACACTGCCTCAGGTACTTTGGACATGCCAGAAAGACCAGACCCTGGAGAAGGGAATCCTGCTTAGAAAAGCAGAGGGTCAGAAAAAAAGAGGAAGACCCTCGGTGAGATAGATGGACACAGTGGCTTCAAGGACGGACTTAAACATTTAACAACTGTGAAGGTGGCACGGGACAGGGCAGTGTTTTGTTCTGTTGTCACAGTCCCTGTGAATCAGAACTGATTTGGTGGCACCTACAAACAACAGCAATGCTGGTAAAACAAGAGACGAACCTATATGGGAGATTTCAACAACAAAAGATAGGTGTTCATGAAAAGCAAACACTAGAACAAAAGGGAGGAATAGACAAATCCAACCCATGTACACCTCTCTCGGTAATGATGGGAGGAATAGACAAACCCAACCCATGTACACCTCTCTCAATAATGATGGGAGGAATAGACAAATCCAACCATGTACAACTCTCTCAATAATGATGGGAGGAATAGACAAATCCAACCATGTACACCTCTCTC